ATTTTTCTAAAATAATTAGGGCGGCCCCGACAGCCTTCGGCTTCTGGGACATCCTTCTTTTTTCGGCTCCGCACTCAACGTGTTAACGTCCTGATAGCAGCGCGAGCCAGTGCCACGCTCCGCCACGCCACGTCCCATGGCAACCGCGATTATGTAGTGGAGTACTCCGCTGAGGTATGGGTATGACTCAATGACTCGGTATGAGAGTGATGAGGGTACGCTACTACACGGTTGAATGCTTCTTTACGGTCCCTATACCTGGTGCCTTTTGCTGGTGAACTCGTTCTCCTAAATGCTTTTCTAAACTCACACCTTCACCAGACCGGCGCCATCATCATCTCCAGCTCAGAGGATGCTCAGCATCGAGCCCCTCTGCTTTGGAGCCCCCGCGCTAACGAGGACCACAAATAAAAGGCCGTTATCTATGGATATGTTTGGGGCGTCGCGCTACGTTCCCTGGCTGAACTTTTGGAGAGGTTCCTGTCGTTATGGCTGCGTGCTGCTGCGCCGGGGTGGCCGGTGGAGGTATGCGCGGGGTGACGTGGCGTTGGCGTCGGCCCGACGGGTGACTACGTGACCGACGTGACCACGCTATGGCGCTGAGAGCTCGCGGCGCCAAACGGTTCCCTGTGATGTTCAAGGGATCCGCGGAACGGGACCAGAAGGGCGGCGCTGGGTTGACGAGCTGACCGGCTGGTCCCAGCAGAGCCGCATAGCCCAGCCGAGCAACGCCAACACTGTGGGGCCAAGGCGAGCAAAGGCCGCAACCAGAAAAAGTGTACCTTGAAACAAGGCAAATTTTTAGCCTTGTTCTGACTTGCTTTCAAGGACAAAACTTGGATTTTATCATTGATTTGGGGTCATTTGCCTTATATTCAATTATGTGCAAGGTTCCTCGTATTTTGACTCGAGTAAAAAACCCTTGATTCAACGCGCATTTTCCCGTCTGTTTCAAGACCAAGATTTTTTGGGTGTCGGCGACGCTGCAGCGATGATACTGTCGTGTGTGGCTTATTACCAGAAGGGTGCAGCAGCGAAGCGAACCGCAATGTGAATCCGGCCAAACCAGTTTACATGCCAGTGGTGTAAGAGCGAGATAGAGGTTGCAAGAGGAACGGAACGGATGTCATGATGATAGAATGCGCAGAGTCGCACCCATTACAGGGGGATGTCGTATCGTCAGGGGAGATACAACGAGGAAGAAGAGGGAGAAACCGGGGCCCAGGAGATCACTGGAAAAAACCAAGGTAGGACTGAAAGGGTTTTAATGGCTTTACAAAGGCATTAAAAATTAGCACCCATACAAAGGCATTAAAACTGCTGCCCAAAGGTGCTGAATTTTTATTCAATAATACCTTTGGACACTTACGTGCCATTACAAAGGATTAAGTCTACCTTTGTTTACCCGGTGTTGTCATAAGACAGATAATAAAGTGTACTCTCTGCCTGGGTATGGTTCAGTAATTTCTTTCTTTTACAAACTAAATCTTTGTTCGAATTATTTTGATACCCACTAACTGTCGCCGCCGTTTGCGTCCTGCTCTTCCTCCTTGCGCTGCGCGATCCGTTTCAGAGGGTTGGTGGCGCGGAGACAGCATCGCATCCCTGCTCCAGTGACAGCCGACGATGGATGTTGAGCTGGAGAGAATTAGCGACCGCGGAGGCTGTGCAGAGTGACGGGGAGTGACACCGCGTCCCGGTGGTGTGTGTCTGCTGGAAGATACTAGATACTTGTAGACAATGATAAGCTACAATTCAACAGTTTTGAACAAGACAATTTCCAACTCGGTGGAAAACTTGTTATTTTAGTTCTAAACTGTAGAGTGAGTAATATGAAGTGAGCTTCACTTTTGACACTGACATTTTAGCATTCTGTACGGATTGCAAAATTTTTGTCCATCTTAAATACCTATTTATAGTTTTTTTTGGAGGGGGGGGGGGCGTGGCGGGGCTGTCAACGGGTTGTGCTATGGACTCAGAGTGCAGAGGCGAACGACCAGGACAAAGCTTATGCCGAAGAGATGTGTCGTGTAAAGAATTCGTTTCCGTGACGGTAGACGAGGACGACGAGGACGGCGAGGACGGCGAGGACGACGACGAGAGCGACACGTCGTCGTCGACGACGGTAATGACGCGGTGAGCATGGAGGCCGGGGCAGGCGCGGCGTGAAGAGTGAGAGGGGGAGGGGGAGGAGGGAAGGTGTTGATCGAGATTGATGAAGACTCGCCGTGACTATTATGTAGTCTCTCTCTCTCCCTCCCCGCTCACCACCCCGCCGCCGCTCACCAGCTGCGCTCACCTCGGAGGAAAGTCTCTCCGAAGCGTTGGCCGCAGTGCGGTTGGGCCGGCACGCCGCCGGCACGCCGAGCAGGCAGCGCAGTGTGCCCTGTACTGCCATTACACGCGTGGTGCAGGGGGGAGCGCGGGAGGAGCGCGGCGCGGCGGGTGGTCGGCCGAGATCTCAAGTTACCGGCCGCCCATAGACCTAATGAACAGCCCGGAACAGCGTCGTGGCGTGACGGGGCGCGCGGCCGGGGAGGTCACGGCACCGGGGTGACCCCGACAAGCCCGCGCGGAGCAGCCTCGTTGCGGCCGGTAGGGCGGGGCGGGGCATCTTGTTGTCGCGGCTCTCCCGCGCTTTGTGGTTTTAAAAGCGTCAAAGACATAAGGGCAACAGAAATGGATACGGTTGACAACCCTTTTCCAGGGGACATTTCGAAGCTTTTGTCTCGTGCAGATATTAATTAGAAGTTTCGTTTT